TCTTTGGGATATTGAAGGTGGATATCAAGCTTTCTTCAGCTTTTCATCCTCAAACTGATGGCCAAACGGAACAGGTGAACCAAATCTTGGAGCAGTACTTACGATGCAGCATCAACTATCAGCAAGATGATTGGACTGCATATCTATCGCTAGCCGAGTTTGCATATAACAACACCCTCCATGCATCGACTCAACAAACACCATTCTTTTCCAACTATAGGTATCATCCGAAGCTTGATTTATTGAGTCCGTCAACAAATAACAATCCAGCAGCTGAAGGATTTGCGAAGCAACTATCAGAGCTTCAAACTATGTTGAAGCTTCAATTACAATCTGCTCAAGAATCCTATAAGACATCTATAGATAGATTTCGGAATCAAGCACCTACTTTCAAAGTTGGAGACAAAGCCTGACTTCTTTGACAAAATATCAAGACCAAGCGACCATGTGATAAGTTGGACTATCGAAGATTGGGACCATTTATCATCCAGAAGCAAATTAATCCAGTGGTATACCGGCTGGAATTACCGGCCTCTATGAAGGTACATCCAGTCTTCCATGTTTCTTTGTTAGAACCTTATTGAGAGTCATGTTTTCCTGAAAGAGTGCAATGTCCGCCACCTAGTATTGAAATCGAGAACCACAAAGAATACGAGGTTGAAAAGATATTGGATTCACGGCGAAGGTAGAAAAAGTTAGAATATCTTGTTCATTGGTGCGGCTATGACATTAATGAGCGAACGTGGGAGCCAGCTAAAAATCTTGCGAATGCGCCACAAAAGGTACAGGAGTTTCATCAACGACATCTCGATAAACCTAAATCAATTCGATGATAGCTTCTTTCTGAAGCTTGTTCTCCCAACAATATAAGAAAAGGGGAGAGCACCAGTAAAATTCATAGTTGATGTAGTTATTTTCTCTAAGATAGATCGTAGTTTGGTCTTTTGATATGAATAGCCAAGAGATAGATACTATACCAATCAGAGTATCGCAACCGAGTAGCTCACGAAGGCGATCCCAAGATGAAGAACTACATGTACCACGACGACGACGGAGGATACCAAGTAACCGATCACTGGTGATCGTATTTGAGATCGAGCCTGCTTACGATGGTCAGCCAGAAGGCGTGTTTGCAGGACAATTTCACAATGAAGACACGGAAGTTCATGCTTGGTCAGAAGTCGAAGGCGTGGGCCACTACCGTTGGCTTCAAGGGTCGATGAACCACTTACCTCGTGAACAACAGTTGGAGTTCATAGCAGAAGTTATGCGACACATCTTCATTTTCTTGCGTTGGTACTGATCAACAACATTGCTTCTCAGAGACCTCGAAGCTAAAGGAGGGGGTGATGTTAGGGACATATTCTTTAGAACTTTCTAGAGAGAAGTTTCTAGAACCTTCTAGAAAACAAGCCTCTGGAACCTTCTAGAAGAGAAGCCTCTGGAACCTTTTAGAGAGAAGTTTCTAAAAGCTTCTAGAAAAGAAGCCCCTAGAACTTTCTAGAAACTTCCTATTTAATAGAAGTAGCTCAAGAAGTTTCTAGAACCTTCTAAAAAGGAAGCCTCTGGAACCTTCTAGAAGCTTTCTAGTTAATAGAAGTAGCTCGAGAAGCTTCATAAGTAGGAGTATATATAGGGATCGAGGCTGAAGAGTTCTTCAGTCTCGACAACACATCTCTTGGAGTTCTAGCTCACCTTTCTGGTGTTGTTCTTGTACTCATCTATTTAATCTAGTTCTGCCACTTCTTCTTGAACTTCTTGTTAGATTTCAAGTCTGTATTTTGTATTCGTGACACAATGTTCTATAGGACATCTAATATGTGTTGACTTTATAAGATACATATCTTAACTTGCAAGATAAGCTATCTATGTAAGTGCCACATAGTGAGCTTCTCCCACAAGCTTTTAATACATGGAATATGTAATTAACTTGTTGACCAAGTTTTCAACCTATTAATTAAGTACAAACATGTATAAAGTCAAAAAAAATTCTATGAAGCTTTTAAAAATCTTTTGTAGAAGATATTATGAAATTAATTTATTTTTACCTATTTCTATTTAATCATGTAGGTAATTATTAGAATAAATATGTATGCCAATGACAATATAACACCTTACACCTAAGACACAATCTTTGAACATAAATAAGCTATTATTAGAAACTCTTAAGGTTCCAACTATTTAATACTTGGAGATATTGAAGGTCCCAACTACTTGATTCTTAGAAATATTCAAGGTTCCAACAACTTCACATTATCCAAGTTTTTTGTTTTTTTTCATCAAAATCCAATCAAAATGTATCTTTATCTCTTTATCTTATATCTAAGTTATTTTATAATATATATATATATATATATATATATATATTTTAAAGATTCAAATTTACAAATACATTGTTATAGATATATAGTTACAAAAAATAATTTATTAATTATAATATATAAAATTTAATTCATCTCAAGCATTTTATAAAAATATCTTTAAAGCTCTTAATTAATTATGGATTATAACATACTAAATAAAATAATTATGTTAATATTTAAGATTTCATGTTTGGAAAATAAATTTCTTGTAAATAAAAAATATATATAATATACATTTAATATAATAGCTTCATTTGTAAAAGCCTAATATTATAGTTTTATCAAATTTTGAATTTATTTTAAGAAATAATAATGCACAATGAGGCTTTTGTAATGGTTTTAATGAGATATTTATAAAACAATCAATTTTTTTGTAGATATGAGATTACTAATAAAATTTATTATTTTTTTCTTCTCAAAACATAATTATTTATTTTATTTATGCATAAATATATGTATGTTGTAAAAACTATAAATTACACTTAGAATAATTATTATAAAATTATTTGTATATGATTTCTATTATAAGTGAGTTTAATCTTTGTATTTTAGTAGCATCATTTGTTTATTTATTTGTATTTCTATACATATATATATATATATATATATATATTTATATACATCATTTTGACAAACCAATGTGCTAGTTGGGGTGCTTCAGTCTGAATTTTTTATTTGCAATGATTATTTATTGACCTTTCTTTATTATTCTCATTTAATTTAAAATTTTCCAAATTCTAATTGAGTCTCATGCCAATTATGGTAATTCGATCTGATAGTCAAAGATATGAATTTTAGTTGAAAATTAGAATGTTTATTAGGATGATTAATTCACTACTTCAATTCATCATCATAATGTTCCATATTGTCATTTTTAATTATTTCCAAAAAGTACTGTATTAGCAATGCCTTTACCTCATGTGTGTGACAAATTGTCCCACATTCTGAATCTATCAACCAAACACACATTTGGATATCTCCATGAATATATACACATGTGATGCAACCACCAGCATTTGGATGCAATGCAAAGCCATCTCCAAACTTGGTGTGTTTATGTTTATGTTTATTTTTTTTTATTTTTTTTCCTTCTTCAGACTTTTTTTTTTATTTATCTATTATGTATGTCTACATAAAACTAAATGAGAGGAGGAGAGGGGGGGGGGGTTAGTGGTATCCAGTGGAATCTTGAATTGTAATCAGGTGCATGGTGTTTGAACCCTATTCATTGGTTTGATGAGATCCATGGATATATCCATGCACTCACTAAAAATGTATTTATTCATCCATCTAATTCAGTTCTGACAAGTGGTGTATCATGGAAGGTAGCAGAAGATGGGGGATAAATGGTAGAGGGAGAAGAGGGGGATGTTAAATTCATCACCTCTGTGATTACCTTGCTTCATCTTCTTGTTTCTTCCCTTCTTTTTTCCTCCCTCCCTCCCTCCCTCCCTCCCTTCTCTATCTCTCTCTTTCTCTGTGTCTGCCTTTTGCTTTGGTATGTAGTTTCAAGGAGCAGAGGTGAGTGGACTGGAGGGACACAGTGGGGGGGGGGGGGGATTGGGGGATTGGGGTGTAGGGGTGGGTGTGGGGTGGAGCCTTGCCAAGCAACTTGTGTGGTGCTGCATGGAATCCTTTTCCTCTTCCTCTTCATCCTCCTCCCCACCATCACCACCACCACCATCATCCTCATCAGCAGAGCTCATCATCTGCCCTCACTGTGTGCCACTTGGCATCCCCTCCTCCCCTCGCTCATCGCCCCCTGCTCTCATCCAGCCATCCATCCACAACCCCACCCCCACCCCTTTCTCTACTCTCGTCTCTTCTCGTCTCTTCTGCATCAGGGGGAAGGGGGTGCCCCCTCCCCCACCAAGCTCACTCATTCTTCTTCTACCACTGCTCTGGAGAGTCCCACCCTTCTTGCCCTCTTTCCACATTCACTCTGCTAATTGATTGTTGTAATTTGAGTATTTACTCATGATTCTTCTTGTGGGTTTCAAGTTGGCTTGCCTCTACTGTGTTACAAATTGAAGCTGACAATTGGTTCAGAACACAATCCTGCACTCAGGTACCTTTTTGGACATATACTAGTCCTGGGCCTTTTGGAACTGATCCACTCCCCCCCAATGATGGAACCACGTGTGCCCACCGAGCAAAAGCAAAATTCTGATTCGTGCAAACAGAAGCGAGTGTTCATCCATAGACCCCATCCGAAACGACGGATGGAAATGAACACATATAGACAGACACAAGAAGGAGCACAGGCGGAATCTATCCAGCATATGCCCAGGCAGGCACACAACGAAAGAATGCGGCACCACCCAGAACATTCAAAGTCCAAACAAACATTGCGCATCCCATTCAGCCCATCCCATCCAAGCATGCACCACACATCCATCCATCCGCATGTGTTTCTCTTTGTCCAGTCATGCTCCACGTGGGTGCAATTTCTGAGTTGCAGCACAATGAAGCGTTACCTGTGCGCGTCAGGGTAACAAAACAACTGTGTGATACCCGTAAGATACTGATGAGAGACCTAGCATATATCCGGAAGAGTGCTGTGCCGGGTAGGGTAGCAACGAACTCAGGCACTGGGGGGGGGGGGGGGGCTTCTTCACGACAGAGCCAATAGGTTGGGACTCTACTCGACCGAGGCTGAGGCTGCTTCTTCTTCTTCATCGTCTCACAGCTTTGCTTTGCAGGCTTTCCTCTCACTTCCTTCCCCACCTCCATCACCCTCTCCCTGCTCCGATCCTCCGCAGTGCAATTCTCTAGCGTTTACGCCATGGCTACCGCAGCCGTTGAATCCCCTGCCTCTACCGAAGTCGACCAGCTCACCCGTATTCGCCTCGAGTTGGCCACACTCGACCAGATCAGGTCTACATCTCTCTCTCCTCTCTGGTTGTAATGTGGCATGCCGTGTGATCAACCTCCAGTTTTTATATATTTTTCGGTGTACTGCCTCCTGGTATGATAGGCTTCAGTGGGTTTTAATTTTGTATTTATTGTTGGTGAATGTGGATCTGCAACAGAGGGGCAGGTTAATAGTAGTGCAGCCTTGACGCTAATTTTTTTTTTGCGATCTATTTGGCGTTACTGATCCTCAGGCTTTGTGACTTGTTTGTTTAACGCTCAGTTGAAATATTTCAAGAATTTTAAATTGTTCTGAATATCGTTGTCGATCTCGTATTTGGGGTTGCATGTCGCTGGTACTTCATTCTGTGGCTGTTAACTAGAGCGTGCAGGAATTTTTAAGGTGTTGACGTGATAAAGCTGGTGTACTTGGAAGCTTATGTCGTTTTCTGTTTTGAGCAGCTCTGCTGGCATGAGCTACATGAAGCTTTGTCGTTATTGTATTGTCCGTTTTATGTCAGATTTTACTTTTAGACCGAAGAAGTCAACTGTTAATTTACTTTCGAATCACCAGAGAAATGTTTAGCCTCGTGTTGAAGGCGTTCGATTTGAAAAGCTGATGCTTCGAAATGTTTCAAGAGAAGTTGAATCGAGACAGAAGTCGTAATATTTACTAACCGTGAGTGTGGTGTATGCAGCGACAATGAGAAGCAAGGTTTTCTCAAGTTGATTGGACGCTACTTGGGGTTGGTGATACTACACTTTGTCCCATTTTTGCAATCTATTCTTTTGTTTGGATATTTCTGTTTTCATGTTATGAACTTGAACACGATCCACACTTGATTGCAAAGAAGGGCTTCTGATGTAGTGAGATTTTGTACTTCAGCCATGTGCTGTACTTCAGATTCAAAGTTTTTAAGAAACTCTATTCAGTTCCATTTATTCGATTTAATTAGCCTGTTCTCATAATGCGAGCAACTGCACCCGTCCGAACGATTACTCTTAGTGTCTTTTGCGCTCCCTTCAGTTAAGGATTGATTGTTAGAAGATCTGAAACTTAAATACTGCCTGCTTGTTTGAGATTTAATTCTGTCTAATTGTTGAAATTACAGTGGAAAGAGTGAAGCCATCCAGTGGGAGAAGATCAAGCCCCCAACTGATGAAGTCGTTGTTCCCTACGACAAAATGTCTGAGTTCTCTGATGGTACCACTCAGTTCCTATTAAGTGCTTATCACTAGTTTCATTTGACGATCAAATCATCGTGATGTATTCATTTGAACTCTCGTTATGTGATTTGGAAATAAACCTACTTAATATCTTTTTGGGAGGGAATGCAGCGTTCTTCTCAGATTTTGGTTTGAACATGAATCACTTTGCTCGATTCGCTGTCTGTTAATGTAAATCAACTCTGTTCATAACCAGATCCAGTCAAGATCAAGAGTCTTCTCGATAAGCTTGCAGTTCTCAAGCTAAATGGTGGTCTCGGAACCACAATGGGCTGCACTGGTCCAAAGTAAGTTTAGCGCGTTAGATTTGATGAACTTGAATTTACACGAAGCTGTTCTGCTTCGTTGTTGCCTTTTAGTTACAATACCAGTGCTGTTTTAAAAAATGAAATGGCTAGCTTCCACACGGATTTATTGCGGATTTGAACACAACATTTGTTTTGAAGTGAGGCTAAAGTGAAGTACCTTTTCCTTCCAACTCAGGTCAGTCATTGAGGTCCGCAACGGCTTGACTTTTTTGGATTTGATCGTGAAACAAATTGAGGTACGCATCCTTTTTGATACAAGTCACTCGGATGGTTATCTGTTATCCGCTTCAATACACTTCTAGTCCTTCAGTTAAAGAGTTGCTTGGCTTGGCATTGGTTTCAGTTACACTTTGAGATGCAGATGCAGCGTTTTTGTTTATTTGGATTGTTACAGGCTACACTTACACTTGGTTGTGTGTTGTTGACAGAGCCTCAATCAGACTTATGACTCCAATGTACCTCTTGTTTTGATGAACTCGTTCAACACACACGATGATACCTTGAAGGTTTGTGATCGGACTCAAGTTACTATCGGCATCCTGTTGAACGATCGTGGTTTTAAATCTTGACGTTCGATTAGAGCCAATACCGTAGAGCGGACGTTTCATGAATCGGAAATAGCGCATCAATTATATTGCAGATTATTATTTTTTGTTTCTATCTCATGTTTGTCCGCTCATGATTTGTTGGCTGGTTTTTCAGATCGTGGAGAGATACAAAGATTCAAAGCTGGAAGTCATCACTTTCAACCAGGTTTTGGTTGCATTCCTTCTTTTAACTTTGAATATTTTGGTCTGTTTTTGATGGACTTTTAGACCGAACTGACAGAAGCCGCTGTTCATTGATGACAGAGTCAATACCCTCGCGTTGTTGCAGCGGATATGATTCCATGGCCTGCCAAGGGCAAGACCGATAACGCTGGCTGGTACAGTGCGGTCTTTTCGCATATGTAAAATATTTTTGATATTCGTAGTCCTTTCAGTACATTTTCTGTCTATGCTATACACAATTTAACAGAACTTATATTACAGGTACCCACCCGGCCATGGTGACGTGTTCCCTTCACTTGATAACAGCGGAAAGCTCGATGAGCTTCTTGCCCAGGTACTTCTAATATCCTCTATTTGAGAGGGATTGTTACCATGAATGGTTTGGAGATTGCAAATCAGGAATAAGGCATCCCTTACTCATGATCTTCAATGTGTTCAGGGGAAGGAGTACGTGTTCATTGCCAATTCCGACAATTTGGGAGCGATTGTCGATCTCAGTATCCACACATTTAATTTCTTGGATTTCATTTCCATGCTTTGATAAGTTATATTTTGAACATGTGCATGCCTCCTTGACCAATATTCAGAAATCTTGAATCATCTGGTCGAAAACCAGAACGAGTATTGCATGGAGGTTACACCGAAGACCCTTGCTGATGTGAAGGGAGGAACCTTGATTTCTTACGAAGGCAGGGTGCAGGTAGGTTTTTGTAGTTGTAGTGTTTGTGACTGCGTATTCAATGGAACCAGTAATGTGATGAACACTTTCACATATTTCAGTTCGCACCTTAATCGTGGATTGTGCTTACGCATTGCTCGGAAACAATATGCAGCCGTCCATAGTTGGCCTCTGACAAATTCTCATTATGGAAATGGTTGCAGCTTCTGGAAATTGCTCAGGTTCCTGACGAGCATGTAAGTATCAAATCTCGTGTCCACTTACTTGTCTATGCCGTCAATGACGCTGTTTTTAAAGGAATGCTAACCGAATTTATACTTGCAGGTCAACGAATTCAAGTCTATTGACAAATTCAAGATCTTTAACACCAATAATATGTAAGTATTTGTGCCCTCATGACTGCTAGTATACCGCTATCTGGAGAGTTTTATTTTTGTAATTAATATGAATCTGAATTTCGTATATGTATTGCTTGTGCAGGTGGGTTAATCTCAAGGCCATCAAAAGGCTTGTCGAAGCTGATGCTTTGCAAATGGAGATTATTCCAAACCCAAAGGTGATCTCAACGGCTATTGCGCACACCTTGACTTGAATTTTCATCATAGTTCGTGAAGTCACGTGGTTCAGCACATCCAACCTACATTATATACTTATTATACGTTCTAAATCGCTCTTGCCAAACAATAGGAAGTGGATGGTGTCAAGGTCCTACAACTGGAAACTGCTGCTGGAGCCGCCATTCGCGTGAGTATCTTTTGCTAATGTCGAACAACAGAAGCCTTTTCGTGAATACGCATCTCTTTCATACGCAGACGTTGTAGTCTGCAACTGTTAGGTTCGGACTAGCTGACAGCTACTGACGGAGAGTCGTTTCAGTTCTTTGATAGGGCTATTGGAGTGAACGTTCCGAGATCTCGTTTCCTTCCCGTCAAGGCTACCTCAGATTTGCTGTTGGTTCAGGTAAAGCTACGAAGTCTACAATTTCATGAAACATCGGGTATTCGTATAGCTTGCGAACTACTTCTGTCTTCTCATCTTATCTCTATCACGTGGATTTAGTTTTGGCATTCCTTGTGTTGTACTGTTTGAGACTGCTAGTAGTTCATGCTGACTTGCAAACTTGTTGCAGTCGGACCTCTACACAGTTCAAGATGGTGCAGTGGTACGGAACCCTGCCAGAACCAACCCCGAAAACCCCTCCATTGATCTCAGTAGCGAATTCAAAAAGGTGCGTGCCTTAGATCACCCCAGTTTGCATCTTTTTTCATTTCTAGTAACCAGTACCCTGCAAATTACAGCTAAGTTACCTTGATTTAATGGGATTCAGAAAGTTGGAGAATTTTCTTACTCTTTCCATGTGTTCAGGTGGGTGATTTCTTGAAGCGTTTCAAATCAATTCCCAGCATCCTTGAATTGGAGAGCTTGAAGGTTAGCGGAAACGTATGGTTCGGCAAAGACATTGTCCTCAAGGTAAGCTGTTCCTCCGTCGATGACCACTCATTTCCTTAATAATTCTGCTGGATCTTAGTGCCTCGAATTGTGTGCCGTGCCCCTAACACAGCTAACTTTCTCTCTTGACTTTTGTTCGTTGTAGGGTAAAGTGGTTGTTGAAGCAGCTAAGGGAGAGAAAGTGGAAGTGCCTGACGAAGCTGTTCTTGATAACACGGTCGTTAAGAACTAGATTATTTTATGTAAAAATACTCCACCCTTTTTTCCTTTCTCGTTTTGTGCGTCTCAGCCTTGTTTACTCGTCTGATCGACTTCTGTAAACACTAACTAATTTCTCACTGTTGACTGTCAGGAAGTAACTGTTGCTGTAACGTACACCGACTTGTAAGCCTTCCATCTGATTTAGGAGATGAGCTACTCCGCACCGCTTCAGTTAGTGTAGCCAAGTTCATTGTCATGGTGGTATCCCATCCATCAGAGATTATCTCTGTTTCAATGTGTTCTGGGCATATCATCTGGTCAAGTTGCGATAGTGATATGTTAGATCGACATGACGAATTATTTTGCTGGATCTGAGACTCTCTTGTTGCGCTGGTTTCTATTCCAGAAATAATAACTTTGCATAATATCCTAAGGACGTTCATTTGATTTTTCCGCTACCCTCCATGTGCTCTATTTTCTCGAAGGCATTTGAGGTGTACTATGTTGTATGATTCCAATCATTACACTGTGTCCATCTAGTCAGAGGCTCACGTAATGTGTGCTCTCGTAATAGTTGTCAAGCGGGTTGCAGCAAGCAAATATCCTAATCTATCATGCCTTAATAATCGTGTCTAAAGCCTGAACATCGTGTTTAGATTGTACGTTCATGAATAAAATGTTTTCTATTCATAATAATTACGCTTTTTAGTATCAAAATTTTGCATGAAATGTCTCACTTGGTAACTTATGATTTCTATGGATTGTACTCATCAGTTTTGAATGCTGAACACGTACGTTTTACTGACACCAGTAACAATTTAAAAATTAATGGGATAAAATGTGCGAAAGGAAATCGTATGAGTAGCAGTCAGAGGGAGGAGGAAACATTCCTATTGCATGTTGTGTAGATATATTGTCCCTGCGTAAACTTCCTTGTGCGTTTCTATTTTCGGGTTTATGGTTATGTCCAACCCTTTACCTTTCTCATCTGCATACTTGATCCAATCATGGTTAGTTGCCATGTAGGCCAGCGTGGTTTGTACCTTGTGATTGAATCTCAATTTTCCGCAAATAGTCCGATCTAAAACTAGATCTTGTCTAATATTTTAATGGCTGGCTTCGGAATGGATGAAGTGAGATCAAATAACATTATTTGGTTTGATCCTTAATGTACAACATCCAATAGCACCTTTTACTCAACATATTATTGGTGGACGTTCTACAGCAAACTTCAATGTTCAATATTGTAACTCTCATGAGGCAACAAACAATCCATCCCTTTAATTCAGCAAAACATAACTCAATGAAAATGTGTCCAAAATTCATTCTTTATAACAGGAACAGAAAGTGTTATTAACTGTTAGTTAATATGGTCACACAGAGAATTCTTCAATTATGGGCAATAATGATAATATTTTTTTAATATAGCTTTATTTTAAGCATGTTAATACAAACCTATGATAGTAGGTGGATTATGCCATTCATAGACCCTTTGTAATGCAATAAAATAATCATTGAAAATAAATGTCCATGACAAAGCTCATGTAATAAACATCACATAATAGATATATTTATAAAAAAACAAAAAAATAAATAATACAAAGAAAAAAACATAAAAAAACAAAATATTTAAATAAAATCTCTTAAAGTTTGATCAAGACATTTTAACCAAAATTAGATAGATTATTCATTGGATATTAAGTTAATCAAATTTAAAATTTATATTTAATTATATTTATTTGATGTTCTATTATTAGTTATATATTTTAGAATCAAATTCCCCTTCTACAAGTTAATATGTGTATAATTGAGTTTTATAAATCTATTTGCATGTTTAATGATATTTTTTCCAAAATAATTTATCATTTAAAGTTCAAGTCTATCAATTTGAAAAAGTTGCAATCATAGTTTTAATAAAAATTCAATAAAAATTTGGTTGAGCTTAGATCCAAAAAAATACTAATTTTATTTTATATTATTTTGTGTTAAAATATATTGTATCATAAAAATTAAGAGATTTTACTCACATATTGATTGTAAAGTGACACCTCCATATTGTGAAAGCAACACCTTGCGTAGATATATTCTTGCTCTCCTTCAACTTTCACTCTCCCAATGCTCTCATTTGCTACTTTCTTCCCTTATTGCTCTCCACATATGCATATATACTAAATCCCTAATTCTAATGTTTCTTCTATCTTAATGCAAGTATACTATAATAACTAACTGTCTCTAAAATGTCTCAAAAAATATTGTAAAAATCATTCCTAAAAAGAATTGCAATATAAGCAACCACAATACATTTTGGAATGTTACTTTAAGAATATGAGGGTATCGCTTTAGTAATTCTTTATAAATAAATAAATATACAAAATATTAAAATAAAATTATAGCATCTATATTATATTAAAGTATTATATATTTATTTATTTAATTTTGAATTTCATTAAGATTCATGCTTAGATTCAAAAATAAGGTCTAAATTCTTTTTATATTATATTATATATTATTTAAATTCAAATTCTTTATACATTATTTAGTTTCTTATTTTAATTTCTTATTATATAAAAAAATATCATTATTCAAAACATATTGAGTGCCATAAGTCAATCATAAAGTATGCAATCTAAACCAAATACACATGCATAAATAACATATTTATTAAAAGTAGTAATTTATTGGAGTCAAATATAAATTTTTGTTTATTAAATCAATAATCTATTAGAATGTATGACAATATTAAGTCTCAAATATAATAGTTGCCATGAAGTAATTCATAATTTTATAAACCATGCTTATTAGTTTGAATAATCCGTTCAACTAAGACATCTATCTTAGGATGATTTCTAATAGTGTGATGATCTATTAAAGATTTTATATACAAAGCCTTAAAAGCTCTAATGAGTTCTTCCCTTAATCTATTAAGACTTTAACAAGTGTTCCAAAACGTAACAATACACAATCAAAAAAAGTCATATTTGCCAACTTTGAAGAATTTAGTGGCAAAACTATAAGTTCAATCTTCTTGCTAAAATACTCTACCATCACAATACATATTTAATTCTACATGGAGTGACAACAATTGACCTAACAAAGTCCAAAGACCAATAGTAGTCCAAATCCATGATAAGTAAAGGCCTCAACTAAGGTGATAAAATATTAAAACTTGATATGACTTGATTACTTAGTTCACATATTAACTTATTAATTTATGCTAGTCAACTAATATTAATTGTGTAATATAGAATGTGTCATATGCCTTTGAAAATATCCTAGCTCCTCACGTACTTATTGCATCGAAGAAGCTCTTTTATTTGGTCTTGGAACTATGTGCCTAACTCTATCAAACCACACACAAAATAACAAATTATTTTTTCAATAGAACCTTGTTATTTGGTGATTAATCTTATTTCTTTCTATAGTAGAGATAGTTGAGAGAAATATCTCTTATTGAAGCTTATGCAAGACCAAAAGGTCCTTTTATACATTGCTAATTATTTTAGTTCTATCAAATTCTTTATTTGAATTTTGATCATAAACTATATTTGTAGAGCTTGACATCAAAGTCATGTATGTAGATGCATGCCATCCAAGAATCGCCTCTCAATCACAATCTTGATACCATCAAACTTTGGTCAAGTCCTCTTTTAAAGAACTTAGATTACAAAAACACTTATCTACATCCAAATTGATATGTTTGCTTAATATACAACCTTAAAATCATACTTTTAAAGTAGCAAAGCTAATCTAGCAAATTCGCTAATACATTTCTTTGATTCTATAAACCACTTATATCATTGATGGTCAATCACCAATGTAAGTCTATGGATGATCATTGTCTGTAAAAGTAATTAAAGATTTGGCAATCAAACCAAAGTTCTTAAGAAATCTTTGGTAGTAATTTGTTAAACCAAGAAAAGTTAAAAATTTATGAAATATTAATTAATGCTAAGATTTTTTACAAGGCATATACTTTATTATACATCAAGCCTTTATAGAATAATTATGTAGCTAAAGTATAGTGATAATTTGTATAAGAATTTATACTTATTATAATGCAATCTCTATTGCTATAATTATTCAAAAATTATTTGTAAGTACATCACATGATCCTCAATGTTGCTACTAAAAATAATAATATCATGAATGTGACATCTAACAAATAATAAGGCATTCAAGACTTAATCTATAATCTTTTAAAACTTAATTGGTGTATCTTTGAGGCCACATAAAAGATACTTTTAATTATAGAGTTGGTCTTTATTATCTTAATCAACTTCTTAAAATATTGACTTTACTTGGTCTTTAATAAATTATGGTAATTGATGATAATGAGATCTTAAGTTCAAAGTATTGAATATTAAAGAAAATTCTAGTACATCAAAGAATTCTTTTAGCATTAGTATTAGATATTTGATCAAACTTGGTCTTATGAACAATTAGACAATGGCTTCTATACATTTACTTCTCTATCCAATTATCAAAAAATTTCTTTTTTGAAGGCATAATTGTAGCACAAGCATATGTTCTATCAAAGGTCTAGGTAATGGATTTCATTTTCTTATCTATTATCTTATATTTTGTCTCAACCATAATCTCTGGTACTTGAAAAGATTCAATCATACTATAAACTTCTCTTGAATGAATTTATATAACTTTATCATCATTACTTAATCCAATAGATGCAATCAATTCCAAAGGAACTTTCAATCTATTTTCTTTAAAAATACTAGTAATATTTTTTTTATCTTCCAATATTCCTAATTCATACAATTCTTTTTCAACAATTCATAATTTGTTTCTTTCTTTTCTTTTCAAGTCCAAAATCTTCTTATATATAATACTTCTATTCTCAAAATATTTAATAAATTCCACATCAAAGACACTTATATCTTACAAGAGTACCTCTCCTTTTATATCTCTATAATCTTGGTTTATAGCAGTACTCTCAAAAAATCTTTGAATTCTTCAACAACTCTTAGCAATGGATTTTCTCTCAATTTGTCTTGATTCCACTTGTGATTTGGAGGTATAGTAAAAAATTGTACTGCCTTCTTTCTATTCTCACTACAAATTTGTGCATAAGCTGAACCATCATCAAATACCTTTGTTTCCATCTGAGTTGCAATAATATATGATTGCCCCAAAATAAAAAAATAAGTCGTTGTATCTTAAATAAAAAAAAATTACTCCATTGCAACATCAGCAATTTAAATTTTTACATCTAGACAAGCACCATATAATTCACCTTGTGTATTATTGGCTGTTTGTATTGCCTCTCTATGCTCCATATCAATTGGCCACTTTTGCTTCATATAATGATCCTTAGATATAAGATTTATCTCCGAATCATGATCAATCAAAGTAATAATTGGCTCATCTATATCTCCAACCTTCACTAATGTCTCTGTAGTTACTCTAATTCTTCCAAATATAATGCCTTAAAATTTCTTTATCC